ATCGACAGCTGGCAGGTTGGCATTTTCTAATCATTTGAGTTTAGGATTTATATTCAAGTCAACTTTATATATTTAATTATTGTTCAATTTTAAAACTTATGACGGACCACAAGTCGTCCATTGGCCTAGAACCATCGCGTGGGCCCTACAGCTTGTGCGACTGCAGGGGCCTCCAATATTTAAGGGGTCCAGAAGTTATGATGTGGATAAAATTAAACCACCAACTACGCCCGCAGAGGACACAAAACCGAAAATTGGCAAGGGGCCTCCAAAAGTGACGTGACCGCTCGCCCGGGCTGTATGTTGAGAACCACTGCAATTAAATTAAATAACCATTATCTTAACAGCGATAAATCGTGTGCCGGGATCCCCTGTTTAAGTGCAGTGGTCCATTGATCAAACTGCTAATAAATGGACTGCGTTCAAAGTATGTGAAAGAAATCGTAGAGCAAGTTAAATACAACCTCCGGCAATAACCACAGGGATCACTTAAGTTTGTAACTAGTTTCTATAATCTCTTGTCGTATTTTCATTTGTCCTGTTTGCTGAGGAAGGCTGTTAACAGAAACGTTCTTTTCTTATTATCCCGTCTTTCGATGCACTCTTCCACATACGTTGTTTTACTATTTCCATGCTATGAGCGAAATATTAGCCACTCATTCCCATCATGCCTAGTTTAATTGAACCCACAATTCTACTCGATGCTCCCCCCCCCCCCGAAACTTCCCCGTAAAAAAAAAACCTCACTTCTTTGACTGTCTTTGTTCCTTCACTCCCCCGCATGGGCACAGGCACAAATGAGCCCTAACCCAATGCCAACAGCTGCTTAATGAATGCAAATGTGAATATGAAATGATCAAACGCTGACTACTGCCGCGTTGGTCCATGACAACTTGCTGAGCCGACACCCTGTCAATATTGGATCGGTTTTATGCTCGTCATTTCCGTCTGCCCTTGTCGTCTGGGAGTGCGTGTCCGTGCCGCAGTTGCTTGCCGTGTTTTCACGTCATTTGCTTGTTAAACCTCATATCTGGGAGTTAAACCTCATATCTTGGAGTTAAAGATCTGGGAGTTAAACCTCATATTGGAGATGTAAACCTCATATCGGGGAGGTAATCTCATATCTGTGAGTTAAACCTCATATTGGAGAGTTAAACTCTTATCGGGGAGTTAATCTCATATCTGTGAGTTAAATCTCATGTTGGCGAGTTAAATTCCTATGGGGGGTGTTAAACCTCATAAATGGAATTATCTCATATCTTAGATTTAAAACTCATATCTTTGAATTAAAACTTGTATCTGCGAGTTACACCTCATATCTGGAATGCTGGACAAAAACCCCACCACATATAGAGGTTTAATTTGATCTTGAAAGCTGCCTGGTGCTTGTTTAATCGTTGTTCATGTCATTAAAATCATGGCCTCGGAGTTAAGCTCTGTTTATGGTTTTATTTCACGTCTGGAAAAAAAAGATACCGATAACCTAACTACACTGTCCCTGTTAGTTAGCTGTATCTTAGATAAAGCCCTACCAACTGCACTGTCCCTGTTAGTTAGCTGTATCTTAGATAAAGCCCTACCAACTGCACTGTCCCTTTTAGTTAGCTGTATCTTAGATAAAGCCCTACCAACTGCACTGTCCCTGTTAGTTAGCTGTATCTTAGATAAAGCCCTACCAACTGCACTGTCCCTGTTAGTTAGCTTTATCTTAGATAAAGCCCTACCAACTGCACTGTCCCTGTTAGTTAGCTTTATCTTAGATAAAGCCCTACCAACTGCACTGTCCCTTGTTAGTTAGCTTTATCTTAGATAAAGCCCTACCAACTACACTGTCCCTTGTTAGTTAGCTGTATCTTAGATAAAGCCCAACCAACTGCACTGTCCCTTGTTAGTTAGCTTTATCTTAGATAAAGCCCTACCAACTGCACTGTCCCTTGTTAGTTAGCTGTATCTTAGATAAAGCCCTACCAACTGCACTGTCCCTGTTAGTTAGTTGTATCTTATATAAAGCCCTACCAACTGCACTGTCCCTTGTTAGTTAGCTGTATCTTAGATAAAGCCCTACCAACTGCACTGTCCCTTGTTAGTTAGCTGTAACTTAGATAAAGTCCTACCAACTGCACTGTCCCTTGTTAGTTAGCTTTATCTTAGATAAAGCCCTACCAACTGCACTGTCCCTTGTTAGTTAGCTTTATCTTAGATAAAGCCCTACCAACTGCACTGTCCCTGTTAGTTAGCTGTATCTTAGATAAAGCCCTACCAACTGCACTGTCCCTGTTAGTTAGCTGTATCTTTGATAAAGCCCTACCAACTGCACTGTCCCTGTTAGTTAGCTGTATCTTAGATAAAGCCCTACCAACAGCACTGTCCCTGTTAGTTAGCTGTATCTTAGATAAAGCCCTACCAACTGCACTGTCCCTGTTAGTTAGCTGTATCTTAGATAAAACCCTACCAACTGCACTGTCCCTGTTAGTTAGCTGTATCTTAGATAAAGCCCTACCAACTGCACTGTCCCTGTTAGTTAGCTTTATCTTAGATAAAACCCTACCAACTACACTGTCCCTGTTAGTTAGCTGTATCTTAGATAAAGCCCTACCAACTGCACTGTCCCTGTTAGTTAGCTTTATCTTAGATAAAGCCCTACCAACTGCACTGTCCCTGTTAGTTAGCTTTATCTTAGATAAAGCCCTACCAACTGCACTGTCCCTGTTCGTGAGCTGTATCTTAGATAAAACCCTACCAACTGCACTGCCCCTTGTTAGTTAGCTGTATCTTAGATAAAGCCCTACCAACTACACTGTCCCTGTTCGTGAGCTGTATCTTAGACAAAGCCCTACTAACTGCATTGTCCCTGTATCTTAGACAAAGTCAACTGATTCGTTGACTTAAGTCACATATGAATAATGTAATAATGTTTTATTTGTTTGAAGGAATTATTTTACGCTGTCATTTAATAGTGTTTTAATTAAAATTGGCATGTTTACTTCAGAAAATTCCATCACATTTAATTACAAATGGTCAGTATCTGGTCAGCATGCGGGCAGTATGTGGTCAGCATGTGAGTAGTTAGTGGTCACCATGTGGTCAGCTTCTGGTCAGCATGTAGGCAGTATATTGTCAGCATGTGAGTATTTAGTGGTCAGCATGTGGTCAGCTTCTGGTCAGCATGTGGGCATTATGTGGTCAGTATGTGAGTAGTTAGTGGTCAGCTTCTGGTCAGCATGTGGGCATTATGTGGGCATCATGTAGGCAGTATGTGTTTATCATGTGTATAGTTAGTGGTCATCAAGTGGTCAGTATGTGGTAAACATGTGGTCATCATGCGGGCATTTTGTGCAAAACATGTGATTGTGATTAAGTGTGTGGGCAGTACCTACTTGGTTAGATTTTGGTCAGCAAGTGGGCAGTATTTGGTTTTCATATGGGGCCGTTGTTGGTTAAATATTTGGGCAGAATTTGTTAGCTGGTGGTCAGCATGTGGGCAGTATGTAGTTAGTTGGAGGTCAGCATGTGGGCAGTATGTGGGCAGTATGTAATTATAGCAAGCTGACAACGCGTTCTAATGCTCCTATTTCTTATGACGTTACTTCGATTTCATTTGCTATCAATTAAAGTTAAAGAATTAAAAAAAATTGCCTTAGCACTTTTTAAAACAAAAAATAATTCGAGTGACAGCTGCTTCTAAAATTGGCTCAGGATTTTTGGGAAAGAACGGCCGAAATGTTGGATTTTTTTCGGCGCATATTACATCCTAAGCCAATTTTTAGAAGCAGCTGTCACTCGAATTAAAGGTAAGACCAGCCAGGATTCATTCATAGAAACTCATTCTGACAATGGTGAAAGGTCTAAATTCATTAATAAATTTTCACCCCCACAACCATACGGCTCATTATCCAGTTTTTTTTTAAAAACCGGTCCATCCTTATGACAGACTCTGTCACCAATCAGATTTTTAAAGACCGCCTCTTTTCGCTTTCCGGGGGGACAAGAGCTTTAGGACATGCTTGTTATAAGCCATCTGCCTGCTATTAAAGCACCTATAGGCACCAAAAGCTGCAACCGAAGCCACTACAGCGTACTTCCATGTGTGATTAAAGTTGATAGCATCCATTTCCCTCTGGAAATTTTCAGAATCAAATATGGTTTTACTTGCACAAGGCCGCAATGTGATTTACACCACCCTTTGTAAAATGTGTGGAAAATCATACGCAGGGGAAACAGGTCGTCGCATTGGAAACCGTTTTAGAGAACACCTGTATAACATAAATAAACAATCCCTTTGTCCCGTTTTTAAACATTTCAATAATACTAACCATAATGGGATATTTGACATTGGTGCATTCAAGTATTGCACTTTATAGTATGTTTATATAGAAAACAAATTAATAAAAAGATTAGGTGCGTTGACTCCATACGCTATAAACAAAAGTAACAATTTTACATAGCTGCAATGTCTTTTTCATGATTGGTCTTTATATTGAACTTTCACCCACTCTGATTCCGTTCTTCTGATATTTGCTTTCATTGGGTACTTGTGCCCATTCTGATCTTTGCTTTCGTGTTTTAAAGTATAGGTAGGATATACATATGTTATATAAATTTAATGTATTAATTATATTACTGTTTTTTTTTTTTTTTTTTTTTTTTTTTTTTTTTTTTTTTTTTGGTTTTTTTTTTTTTTTTTTTTTTTTGAAGTTGTTCTGGTGAAGTCATTAGCCGAAACGTTTGAATTTGTATTTTGTCTAATCATAATTAAAGCCTTAGATATATTTTTTTTATTTACACAAACGGCTTGTGTCTCATTAATCTCAATATGAATCAACTGAAACAAAACTCTTGTAAGACCACATTACCACATGTTTAAAAAACAAAATATTGAATAACGAAAGATTTTAGTGTGCGGATTCATACAAGCACGGAAACATGAGCTCGATGGTATTATTATTGTTATTTGTTTTTAATCAGTCGTCTATTTACAGCAATGGTAATATGCTTTGTTAGCTGGTTTAGTTTACATAAACATCAGTACGTTTCTAAAAAACAACAAAAAAAAAACAAACAAATGGTCCATTTTCCGTATTTAAATCAACTTGGATTTACCGCCTGCCGAACAAATCGTCTTTCGTTTAGCACAAGAGAAAAAAAAATGTTTCCATCGTAACACTATTAAAATGTTAATTATTTTTCAGTTCCTCCAAAGTGTCCGTTGCAAACGCCACGAACTAAACAAAAATGAAGAATAAAAGATGGCGAAAAAAAAGTAATTATACATAGCTCATCTGTTTATTGCTTAATCAGGTTTCTTCTTTAAAGAAAGTATCAAAGGATATAATGTTTATATTATGGGTTTTTTCGTCTTCTTCCTTATACTGTTTATAAATGGACAAATTACAATCACCAGGTCTTTGCAACTCTCACTTCAATTTAAAAAAAAATGTGTTGTTATTTTTTTTTAAAAATTAACAATAAAGTCGTTTATGTACCCTTGCGATCTCATCCTTGATATAAGTATAAATATAAACCTACTCGAGCATATTTTAATGGTACGCTGGCATGAGCCATGACCAGAAATACAGCAATGAAAGTATTGGGTTGCCAGAGAGTTGTCAAGGGCTTGTCAGCCGTGGGGTACCCCGAATAAATGGTGCACCGAATATATATAAATATAAGTCTTTTTGTCTTCACATAACTGGGCTACCATAAAAAACACCAATGTGGTCAATTTACAGCGTTTTGTTTATTATCATGTATTTTCAGATGTAAACCTACAATTGGGAATGCCTCAGAAATATACAATAATTAAATTACTTGTATAATTAGATAACAGCTCTACATTCAGTTACATGAGTTTAATTTATATCATAAATTGTTTCCTTTCAGCGAAAATAACAGATCTATAGTTTCTATATTTCCAAGTAAATCAGCATTGAAGGCAATGTAACATTCATAGTTTTAGTCAAGCATATTTAAAATCATTTTTGTTCTTTGGAAAAAAAGTACAAATCAAATAAAAACCAAAAAAAAACAAAAAAAACAACCCTAAACAACGCTTTTATTCCACAGAGCTTTTACTGATTCAGGACATGGCCAGAGATCGTTTTTCCTCGTCATCTTCTCGTTTTCCTAGCCTCAGCATACTCATTGGACGCTTTCCTAATCGTAGCATGCTCATGGGTCGTTTGCCCAGGCGAAGCATGCTCATTGGTCGTTTACCTAGACGAAGCATGCTCATTGGTCGCTTTCCTAAACGGAGCATGCTCATTGGTCGTTTACCTAGACGAAGCATGCTCATTGGTCGCTTTCCTAAACGGAGCATGCTCATTGGTCGCTTGCCTAAACGGAGCATGCTCATTGGGCGCTTGCCTAAACGGAGCATGCTCATTGGCCGTTTGCCAAGGCGAAGCATCGACAGAGATCTTTTGTCGTTTTCCTCATCGAAGCTGTCTTCAAAGTTGTCATCCTCACGTTTTCCAAGCCTCAGCATGCTAAGACTTCTTTTCTCCTCATCAAAATCAGCGTCGTCCTCTTCCCGCTTGCCTAACCTCAACATACTCATTGACCGTTTTCCTAACCTAAGCATGGGGATCTGACGTTTATCAGCGCTCCCATCTTCGTTGTCTCCTTCGAGAAGCTCGTCCACGTCTCCGTAATAAAAATCGCCGTCTGGAAAATACAAATAGGGCTCCGCCTCTTCAAGTTTGAGTTCATGCTCTCCACTGTCCTTGAACGACTGTGATTGCTGAACCTCTTGCGGTGCCACCCCTGAGTTCTCTGTTGACCTCCTGAACCTGTGGTGTTCAGGTACTTCTAACTCGTCCCCGGACAATTCCCTCTCTTCTTCGTTAAAAGCGAATTCCGGGTTCTGCTCTTGGTACGCCTGCAGCAAGCTCAAAATGTCGTCTATGTCGCCGGGGTCTTCGCTTGTGGACACGCTGTCCCGTTTGCCGAGCCTCAACATCTGGAGCCCCCGCACGACTCGACCCATCTCCCGGCTGCGACGCTTGGTCCTCGACTGGGCGGGCTCTGTCTTGTCATTACTTGAAGTCTGGCCACCGGATTCTTCTGTATTGCCTTGAAATAGACGAGAAATGGAGACGGTAAATAAATGAAGATGGATTTGAATATCTAAGCTAAGTGGTGGATTAGGTCTATGGGCGGATTGCGATAGATAGGAATAATGTTGATTTGTGAATGTAGACAGTTTGGATGTAGCTGCGGAGGCATGTATGTGGATGTGTGTATGGGGAGGCATGTTTGTTGAGATATGTATGTGGAGGCATGTTTGTGGGGGGCATGTATGTGATAGTATGTGTATGTGGAGGTATTTATGTGAAGGTACGTATCTGGAGGCAGGTGTGTTCGAGGCATTCGTATGTGGAGGCTTGTGTGTGTTGGATTGGTGAAATGAGATGGTAATGCTGAGTGAATGAATATGTTAATCGATGTATCGGTTAGTCATAGTTCCTGTTGATGTCTTGAATTGATGTGAGTAAATAATGGTTTTATTGACTAATGGATGGTGTGTGGTCAAAACTATTTTAGAACCAATTATAATCAGAGCGTCTCTTATAACGTGACCAGATAATAATATAAAACAAGAGGTTATAGGTTCGGATTTCTATAAATGACAAGACTGTCAGCACTGCTTCCCCCTCCCCCAATGATTCCAGGCATCCACACCATTTCAAACGATAGGCTCATGGAAATTATCCTATTACCACTAAACAGAACTGCACTCGCCTGAAACTCTACCAAATTATACACTGCCCCTTTAATTCCATGCCATTGTTTTAATTGGAGGTATCGCAAAAAAGAAAGACGGGGTGGGAGGGATGATACCATAATTATTTATAAACCTCTCCGTGTTGACCCCTAGATATCGTTTGGTTTGTTCTGGAGAGGGGGTGATGTGGGAAAAGGAGTCTGGCATCCTAGACCGTCGGAAATTTTCAACTAATATTTATGCAAATTGACTTTCTGTAAGAGCCTCTTTTTATAAGAAAATAATTCATTCGGTTCGTTTGCTCTGAATGACGGAAACTCCAGGTCGTAAATGTTCCTTTACGTAAGCTTGACCCGTGTCACGTCAATGACCCGGGTCACGTAGATGACCACACCGAATAACTCGACGTTCGTATATCATCTATTCATTCCAGCTTTGATTATTTCAATGCGGACGCCATACTGAAGGGTGGGGGAGGGGGTGGCTCATTTCCGTATAGGCGTTCAAATAAGATGTCGCATATGTGGCCGTGACGTTGCCCTCTTGGCGTTACGTCTCTACAAAATACCCACGATAGCAAAGAAATAACCGAATTAAGTGGACTAGGAGCTGTTAAAAATGGTTGAGTAGAGCGTCGATTTTCCAAACTATTTGAGAACAGGGGTCGATCAGCTCTAAGATATATTTTTGGGGAGATAAACGAACACTCACAGCGAAAGTGTGCTTTAAAGAAGTTAGTTTAAAGATTAAATGATGCTTTATTGTAAACTATATTGATCCCCACCGCACGGTATATCGGGTTTTCTGATTTATTGATGCCAAACTTGGTGATGACAGGAAAATCGTCTCCAAAAATAGAAGACTGGTGCTTAGAGTAAAATTCGAGGTCGCTTTAGTCTTGAAGGCGTGCATTCTGCGATAACAAGCTTGCAGATTGCATTATGCCAGTTCGGTCACTGCATGTAAAGTAATTATCTACATTTTACCTGGGTTATGTCAAAGGGGTCGTAATTTTTCATTGGTGTATCTTCACTATTGCATGTGCGTTGCATAGTATAGCAATTTTAATTTTTAAAAATGGGGCTGTACGGAAAACCGACGTTTCTGAAAATCAGCGTTCTGATAATCCACTCTCTAATGCATATTTCAATACCAATTTTTTAATCCCATGAAATACATATACCATTGAAGCGGTTAAAATGTCAAATTTTGATTCTCTACGAGTTTAAGGATTGTAAATAGTGAGGTGATATACAACAAACTTTTAAAAATATAATATGCACACCCGATAATTCATTGCAACATTGTTCAGTATTCGCTTGCCCTGGCTGTGAAATTGTAAAAAAAAAAAAATGTAATCTAAGAAAGAAATCAATGCATTTTACCTTAATTTTGATTTAAGGTTAAAGGTTTGACGGTAAAAAGCTATGATGGTAAAAAGCTATGACGGTAAAAAGCTATGAAGGTAAAGGGTTATGATGGTAAAAAGCTATGACGGTAAAGGGCTATGACGGTAAATGACTATGACGGTAAAGGGTTATGATGGTAAAGGGCTAAGATTTAAAAGAATATAAAAGAAAGGGATTCACAGCTGAAAGAATTTTAACCTAATTAATTGCGGGCGTTAATCTTTTAATTAATTAACCTCATTACTGTGGCCCAATATTAACTTTTCAATTCATTCGTTTAAAATAGATTTTTCTTCTTATATCTGTTTTTAAAAAATTAGCCGCTTTTACAAATTATTTAGTAAATTAATTTAGAAAATCCGGAAAGCCATAGCACAGACCAGTTCCGATGATGGTATTGTGTTAAGTTGAAAAACCATAATTATGCCTAAACGGCCCTTAGAGGGAGTGAACCAACTGGGACTTGACTTGAGGATTGTTTTCAAGCAGGAATGATTTCGCTTTACACGGAAGGTGCAGCTGCCGTCACTGCACGACGTTAACTTCTTTACCGAAACATCCATCCGTACTATGTAACCTTTCAAGCGATAGGTCGGCCTGATTGGACGCAATTCTTGCGTCTTCTCTCATTAAACTCCAAGATTTCATCAAACAGAACCGCCAGTGTTTGTTTTCTGCTGGGACAGCCCATCGATTTTTGTTTTATTTCCGCCCCTGGTTTTTCTGAGTGGCGTCTAATTCCCCCCCCCCAACCCAATCTCTGCTATAGAGCGGCCATAGAGTAAAATTAATAATGCAGCGATTATGATAATTAATGAATTCGATCCTTAACACTTCTGTGGATCGGATTCATTTTATATAGAAATTAATCATACGATTTCTTTTCTGCTCTTCAAAACAAGGCCGTTCTACATGTTGCATCATTGTCAAGGCATTCAAAGGATAAGAACTTTTGTTTCGATCATAATTCTAATTTTAAACAATTTTAATCTAATTCATTACGTCCCGTAACCAGAATAATGACGTAGTTATTAGATAGAATACATTAAACAATGTGTTCCCAGGGTCAGTTTTTACAGGAATCATTCTAATGACGTCGGGTTTTTTTTGTTTTTGTTTTTTGTTTTTGGATAACTTACAGTGAGCCTTATATCCTAGATGAAGGCCCACTCCTGTAAATAATTAGTATGTAGTCAAACACAATGACTAAATTAAACGACAAAATTATATAATGTATCGCCCGGCAAAGGTCAAATATAGGGGTCTCAAACTCAAAACACCACGCGGCATCGCCACCGTACAGACATGCCCCAAAAAAAAAAAAAATCATTTCTCACACCCCAATAAGCACCCCCTAGGATATTCGTGACCCCTAATATCACCACTTTTTTTTTTTTTTTTTTTTTTTTTTTTTTTAGAGCTCATGCGAATCGAGTTCCTTAAAACTGAACCTGTTGAAAACGCATTTTCGGAGCTAAATTAACAAAACAAAACAATATATTTTAAAACAGACCGCTACAACTTTTTCGGATGAAGTGTGGAAGGGTTGAGACAGTAAAACGGTAAAGGACAATCACGGTAAAGGACTGTGTCTATAAAGGACTATGACTGTGAAGGACTATGAAATAAAAGACTATGACTATAAAGGTCTATGACTGTAAATGAGTCTGACGGTAAAAGGCTTTTACGGTAAAGGACTATGACGTTAAAGGGCTGTGACGGTAAATGATGATGCCGGTAAAGGGCTATTACGGTAAAGGACTATGACGCTAAAGGACTATGACGCTAAAGGGCTGTGTCAGTAAAGGGTTAAGATGGTATAGGACTATGCTTAGGGATGCATAGTAAATAAATAAATAGATAATAGTTTCAAAATTTTCCCAACTGCCAATAAACGTACGCTTCTAGAAAACAAAAGCGAAGAGGCAGAGGTCCCATCAAGATCAAATGACTATTAATCTCAAGTTTCACTCCTATGTGTTGTCTTAAACATAGGAATGGTTCACATTGCGGGCAAAAACATGAAGTGGTGAATTAACCTGACATTGATGACGGTCAGGCTTTAAGCAAGCGTAAGAACGGTAGTGTGTAGGAACAATAGTGCGTAACTTAGGGAAACAACAACAAACGCACAATATACACATCAAAGAGGCTTTATTTCTGGTGTGGTCTAACGTGGTCTCATTAACTAACACCCCAGCCGTAGACGAGGGAAAACCTTAGATGTGTTTCCTAGTTGTTGAGCCGACCATCTTACTTGTCCGCCAGTCTTATGGTGAGAGCTAGCTCGACTGGTCCCCGTTTTGTAGGTCTGTGTAGAAGAAGCCTTTGAGAGATTCATTTTGATACGTTCCTTGGCTATGGTTCTTTCTTTGATGTAAAAATTACTCGACCCCTTGAGATCTGTGACCGATCGATGAGGGTTTAAAAACATCGTCATCATCTGTACTCTTCTACTAATGCATACAAAACAGATTAAAAAAAATATATATATTTTTGTGCTTTAATTTTTTAGGTTCATTTACCATTTATATAAAAATATTATTTCATATAAGTGGACTTGAGCGACAGACTAGTGTGTCGTGACACCCTAGCCAATTTCAGCAACAGACCAGTGTCTAGCCCAGTAATTATTTCAGAAATTTTTCCCGGGGGTTCAGATTTTTCGGGGGGGAGGGGGGGGGCAGTGCCAGCAGTGCCAGTTAATTTATTGTTGGACATATTTTTGCTCAAAAGGGGGGGGGGGCACTTGGCTTAAAGAAACCCTGTCCTAGCCAGTTTAAGTGACTGAACGCTGACGTAGTACAATGTATACGTTCGACTTCTTGTTATAGAATGCTGCAAGCGGTATTCCCGTGCAAGCCTATTCTGTGGGCTAGATAACAACAGGGACCCTAGCTGCCGGCATTGCAGCCTGGTCCCGGAAACACTAGCGCATCT